CTGTGATCCATGCCTTCAGAATGGATGCCTTCTCTCCTCTCATCTGCCCCCAAACCTGGGCCTGAAACGTCTTTCCCAAGTATTCCCATTTAGGCAGAGCCCAAGTCACATCTGAAACTCTCAGCTGCAAGGCACCATGAAGAATGTCATTTGGACTTTCAGGCCTGGCATGCTAGATGGGGGTTGGGCTAGGTCCTGAGCAAGTCAATCTGTGGGTGTGCCATGAAGGCAAGAGTGGTGTGGGAGCCTGGGGAAGGGATGGCGAAGGCCCTTTGCCCACCACTCTCTCTGGAAGAATGTCTCTGGATTCTTCGTTGGCATGAGTTAGTAATTGGGGTGAATAGAGAATGGCTACCCCGCCAGCGATCCTAGTTTGTGTATTTGGGTGCATGTGCTTAACGGCTCTGGGCTCATGCCATCTGCAGTAGGAAAGCCTGTCTTGGAATTTATGAAGGAAAAACTGTAAAAAAGGTTTAGTTTCCGTCATAATCTGACTATACAGGCAGCTACTCTTTTACAAGATTGTTTCGGAATCTACTGTCTTTTTTAACTGTTTCAAGTTAAATTGATAGGACCAGGTGCAGTGGCTCACACGTGTAGTCCCAACACTTTGGGAGGCCAGGGCGGGAGGATTGCTTGAGCACAGGAGTTTGAGACTAGCCTGAGACCCTGTCTGTACAAAATATTTTTTTAAAAAAATTATCTCGGTGCGGCGGCGCATGCCTATAGACCCAAGTACTCAGAAGGCTGAGGTGGGAGGATGGCTTGAGCCCAGGAGGTCGAGGCTGCAATGAGCTGATTGTATCACTGCACTCCAGCCTGGGCAACAGAGTGAGACCCTGTCTCAAAAAAAAAAAAAAAATACTCATTTGCCTTAGTGAGTGGCTAGTTTGTAGTTCTCTCCACCCTCGCTGGAGGGGCGTGTGCTGGGGATGCTGTCATGATGCAGGCCACAGTGGCAGCTGTATTCCTTCAGTTAGTGCTGAGTCACAGTGAATGCCTTGGTTTATCACTGTGTTCACTTAAGTTTTTAAAATTACTAGTATCATATATGACATTCCTTGGAGGCTTCTTAATGAGAATATTTGATAAAAATTACCTTGGTCAGGAGAGCTAGAGCTTTTGGGGCCTGCTGACATTCACTAAGGGGCATCTGAGAAACTTCTGAGTGACTTGTTAATTGTACTCTATTTTACTTGTTTCAAACTGTTTGAAAACAAGAATCTGATGGGAACCAGATACAGTCTTGGGCCCAGAAAGTTCGGATCTCGTTCTGGAGAAGTTTGTGGAGAGTGGCTGGGCAGCGCTTTCCTTTGCAAGGGTGTGGTCTCCAGCTGTTCAGACCACTGGGCACACACTGTTGCCCTGATACCTCACTCCAGCAGTAACACCTCTCCTACTGGCCCGGGACCAGGAACGGCTCCCTACCCCTAGGGCTGTGAATAAGGAGTTTCCAGGAGGAGACCCAGGGAGGCAAGGAAGGGCGGGCACCTGAAGAGGACTCTTACCTGGGACTGAAGGCATCTGAGAAGCACAGATTCCTGGCTCTATTAGATCTAGGTTCAGGCCTTGAAATCTGCTTTTTTATTTGTGTGTGTGTTTTTGAGACAGTCTGGCTCTGTTGCCCAGGCTGGAGTGCAGTGGCACAGTCTTGGCTCACTGCAAGCTTTGCCTCCTAGTTTCACGCCATTCTCCTGCCTCAGCCTCCCAAGTAGATGGGACTACAGGCACCTGCTACCATGGCCAGCTAATTTTTTGTATTTTTAGTAGAGACGGGGTTTCACCATGTTGGCCAGGATGGTCTCAATCTCCTGACCTCTTGATCCACCCTCCTCAGCCTCCCAAAGTGCTGGGATTACAGGCATGAGCCACCATGCCCGGCCGAAATCTGCTTTTTAGAAGACTTCTAGGTGATTATGAAGATTGGATAGATTAGAGTTTTCCTAAAAGATTCCACGTTTCCCAAGTTCAAGTTCAGATGACTCTAATGACAATTTCATGATACGAGTAAGATTTGAATGCGTGGACATGGCTGGAAAGGGCGTTCCTGGGATGGAACATCATGAATATAGGTACCGGTGAGCTGTGGGAGCAACCAGAGAGGAGTCCATGAGGGAATTCACCTGAGTCTTCGATAAACAAACAAGAAGGGTGTGGTGGGGCATGGTTCTCGAAGCAAGGACCCAAGACTAGTTGCTGCACCTGGGCTCTTGTTAGGCGACTGTGGGGCCCCACTGCAGATCTTCTGAAGCAGAAATGTGGGTGGAGATGGGGAGGGACAATCTGTGTCTTAGCAGCCCACTCATGGGAGTGTGAGAACCCTTGTGGTGGAGAGGAATTGGTTGAAGGGGGTCTTGAGTGCCAGGGTAAGTCATAGGGGCAGTGAGATTCGGTTTGATCGCAGGACCCAGGGGCACCTGATGAGATGAACTTCCAGCAGCTTCATCCTGCTGCATGTGTGAAGGAGAATGGAAAGTTGCTTTCTTTTCATCTGTTACAGATATTAATTTAATAAGATTCCAGAATTCCTCAAGCTTGGGAAAGCTGATAAAGCTCTTACTTTTGATTCTTTTGATTTTAATTCTGGAAAATTGTTGATAAATCATGTGAAACAATAAAAAGGTGATAGTATTACACAAAAAAGTTAATTGTGGCCAGGCGTGGTGGCTCACACCTGTAATCCCAGCATTTTGGGAGGCCAAGGCGGGCAGATCACGAGGTCAGGAGTTCAAGACCAGTCTGGTCAACACAGTGAAACCCCATGTCTACTAAAAATACAAAAAAATTAGCCAGGCGTGGTGGTGGCGAGCGCCTGTAATCCCAGCTACTTGGGAGGCTGAGGCAGGAGAATTGCTTGAACCTGAGAGGTGGAGGTTGCAGTGGGTGGAGATTGCACCACTGCACTACTGCCTGGATGACAGTGCGAGACTCCATCTCAAGAAAAAAAAAAGAAAAAGCTAATTGCACCTAGACATTTTACAATGTAAATTACTTTCTATTATTTGTATGTTATAAACATTCTTGTTAAGCAGAGAAAAAGAATAATTTTAATTTTCAAAAGAAATTGTAAACTTAGGACCAAAGGTGTCAAATGGTATATGTGCTTATGGAGGGAGGAAGTGGATTTCCAAACTGTTAGGTGAACGTGGTCATTGTGCAGATTTAAAACTTAATAACTTAAGACACACACTTTGAAAATTAAAATCAAGTAAAATTGACATCTTCTGGAACAAGGGTAAGCTGTGATGCTGGGCGTGTGGTATGAAGTCTTCAAACACAGTAGAAAGCTGCGGGCACCAAGGCACAGCCAGCCCAGGCGCTGAGTACAGGGCAGCTGCAGGGGACTGTGCCAGCCACGCTAAACGGCCTTTCCTGGGAAAGAAGACATGTGGACCGAGACTGAAAGCAGTTGAACTGCTTATTGAACTGTGATCTATCCGCCTTTAAAGTGGACATCTCCACATAAACAGGAAAGCCTAGCGTAACACTGGGTTGACGAGTGACTCCTAACATTTTCATCATCAGTGCAGGCTGAAGGACAGCGTCCTGGAAGGCCTCCAAGGCCGGCCGAGGCTGTCAGACCATGCTATCGTGCAGCGATCGCTCAGTGCTCTTCCCACTGAAACCATAGCACACGCGCTCTGAATGTTCACAGAGCTGTGGCCAATGTTGGAGGTGACACACGTGCTAATTGCCCCAATTTCATCCTTATACATTGTATGTATGGATCAAAATAACACTCTCTGGGTCCCATGAATAGGTACAATTACTACATTTCCACTAAAAATAAAAGGAAAAAATTATCAACAATTCTTTGTCATTCTTCAGTAATGTTTATTGTTTATTAATTTTTCAGTTGTCTGGCAATTTCCCAAACCTGCTTTACCTGTTTCAAAACTCAGAAAAACCACGTATGTTAGAACAGAGGAGCCGAGGCAGAGTCTCTGTGCAGCTGACAGAGCTGACTTGCCTGGGTGCCTTCCAAAACAGGCCCTTGCGGTATCTTCACCATGTTTATATATTTTGTTAAATTTGCAAAAATAAGGTATTTCAACCACAAAGTTAAGACTGCCATCTCTTCTCTTTTAACCTCTCCTACGTCATACTTCCCCTCAGCATAACGGTGAAACAGCCGTGGACATGTCTGGAATCTTGTTAAGGGTTGGCTGGGATACATTTATATGCTTTGCAGTCTCTTCCATGTATTAATAGTTACGTTATTGCCGGCCATCTCATTTGGGATGTCTTCTAGGAATACTCTGAGTATAGTCAATTCAAATTGACTATGGAGCATTCACTCCATAGAAAACTTGAAATATGAAATCTTATAACTCAGATATGAAAGAAACTTAGCAGTTTCCCCAAATTTGACAACAATCCTAAAAATTACATGGTGCTACTAACACATAGTTGAGGATGTAGAATAAACTTCTATAAACTGCCAAAAAGAAAAATAAAAAGGAATTTTCCATTAAAAATGTATGTGCTGTGTAATTTTAAATGAGATCATGCCAGTATACAGATTTTTTCCCCCCCCTGGAGTTTCACTCTTGTTGCCCAGGCTGGAGTCCAGTGGTGGGATCTCGGCTCGCTGCAACCTCTGCCTCCTGGGTTCAAGCAATTCTTCAGCCTCAGCCTCCCGAGTAGCTGGGATTAGAGGCGCCCACCACCACACCGGTTAATTTTTGTATTTTTAGTAGACATGGGATTTCACCACGTTGGCCAGGCTGGTCTTAAACTCCTAATCTCGTGATCCACCCACCTCAGCCTCCCAAAGTGCTGGAATTACAGGCGTGAGCCACCGCCCCTGGCCAGTCTATGGAATTTTAAATGGTATGTTTTGTAGGTACACTACATATTTCCTAAGACTACTTCAGATTATTTTTTACAGGGGAACTTAGATTTTCACACATCGTTAAATAAAAATGGATTATTTTTATTTCAAAAAAGGGGATATGTACCATCAGTAACCATATTTGCCTATTTCCTTGATTATACAGGGAGAAGATACCCATTATCAGAAAAAAAAATTATGCACTATATGTACCAGTTATGTAAGTCCCTTGATCACATTCACAGGTATGCTCTTGGAGATTTGACAGCTCTGAAATTAATAAGATGTGTTAACATTCAAATTCAAGAATTTGAATAAATGAAGTGTAATTCTATTTTTCCTTTTATACTGAATGCAGAAATGGAATATTTCACAGAGATGTAAAACCAGAAAATATACTAATAAAGGTAAGAGCTTTTACATGAAAGCTGGTGTCAGAATAAAAGGTGAATAGAAACCCTTTCCCTGAAAGGTTTGCTCCTCCTGCTGGAGGAACTTCCAGTCCATGCAGCTAGACAGCCTATTTGTTACAGTGATTTTTCCCTCTCAGGTTGTAAAAAATGGTTTATTTAATAAATGCCATCAACATAACTGACTGCACCTGGAAGAAAATAATAGAAAGTACCCTTCTTACACCGCAGACAGAAAGGAACCCCATTCTGATGGCCGTTCGATCCCCCTAGAGAGAAATGTGGCAGAGGCAGGATCTGAGCTCAGGTCCGTCTCTCTCCCAGGCCACTAAACTACCTGTGTTTAAACCGTACCATTTGCTGTTTCCCAGCGCCTGTCACTGGCTGTCAGCAGGGTCCTCTGGGGCTGTGTGGCTAAAAAAGCCCTTGCTGGGCAAGCTGGCAGCATGACCAGACCGACGACTAGTGTGTGTCGTTCATTTGTTGAAGCGCTGTGAGTTAACCATTTTCAAACCCGTTGACATTTGGAAATATATGTAAAACATAGCCAGAATATTTGTAAACTTGTTCCACTGAATAGACACATCACTTCCTCATCTGCTGGAGGCACTTTCAGGTGCTCATAAAGCTAGTAATTTGTATTTTACAGACTACTTTAGATGCTAGTAATTTTCCTGCTAGTGCATAAATATTTGGAGTGGTTTGTATTACGATAGCCACATAATGGGACATTGCTTGTCCTTGCTTCTCTCCCCTTCCAGCAGGATGTCCTGAAATTAGGGGACTTTGGCTCCTGCCGGAGTGTCTATTCCAAGCAGCCATACACGGAATACATCTCCACCCGCTGGTACCGGGCCCCAGAGTGTCTCCTCACCGATGGGTTCTACACGTACAAGATGGACCTGTGGAGCGCCGGCTGCGTGTTCTACGAGATCGCCAGGTAGCGCCAGGCCGGGCTCCTTCCTGGTTCCTGCAGCGGGAGGGGCCCTTCCAGTCCAGATGTCAAGGTCATTCTGGTTTTACTTTCTGTTTTACTGTTTTTAATTTAACAGCAAATTGACTAGGCTTTCGTTTTACTTGTTGTACATATTTGGCCTTGCCTGGCCTTCCCGGAGAAGAGCACCAATCCTCAGTTGTTCTGCCTCCCGCACACCCTGGCGGTGTGGGCAGCCGCCTCCTTGGGCTTGCTGTGAGGTGCTTGATGGGGCTGCCATGGGGAGGGGTGAGCCGGGCCTCCCCTGAGAGGTGCAGTCATATCAGGTAGGGTGCCCTGGCCACAAGTGTGAGGATGAGGCACCTTCTGGCACAGTTGGATTCTAGAAAGCCCCAATCCCACCCTTCCCTGCTCCAGCCTCCAAACCTCCCACTCCCCCCAGCCCTCGGGAAGGAGCAATGGCCCAGGGATGAGGAGATGGGGGCCGGTCCCACTCCGAGGTGAATGGTGTTGAGTTGAAGAAGTGCATGGGGGTGGAGGGCTGCACCTATTGCTCCCAGTGGGCCTCCAGGCAGGTGGCAGTGAGGTTAAGGTCTGGGGACACATCTGAGGGGTCAAAGTCTGGTCCCACCTGTTCAACAGACTGATACAGAAATGCACTTCAGGACATATTCTCCTTTGATCCAGATGGGTCATACTGGTAACTTTTCATTTTGGAAAGCTGAATGGCAGTTTCACTGCAGCCAGAAGTGTCAACCGAGAGTCCCTTCTCATGAGGCCAGGTCCTGTGAATTCATCTGGAGGAGGCAGATATCTGGAGCACAAAGCTGCCCACATCTCACCAGCACACAAGGTGGCCCACGGTGCACCAGCCACCGAACTGGGCTGATGCGCTTATCTCACCGCTTGGAGCTGTTTCCTGCTCACCTGCATTTCCTCCTCTCTCCTTTCGTCACAAGATCCCGCCATTTTCTGGAATAGAAGCTAGGCCTACCACCAGAGCTATATTTTTTCTTTTCTTTTCTTTTTTTTTTTTTTTTGAGACAGAATCTTGCTCTGTAGCCCAGGCTCAAGTGCAGTGGTGCGATCTCAGCTCACTGCAAGCTCTGCCTCCTGGGTTCAAGCCCGCCTCAACCTCCCAAGTAGCTGGGACTACAGGCCTCTGCCACCACACCCAGCTAATATTTTTTGCATTTTTAGTAGAGACGGGGTTTCACCATGTTAGCCAGGATGGTCTCAATCTCCTGACCCTGTGATCCACCTACCTTGGCCTCCCAAAGTGCTGGGATTACAGGCATGAGCCACTGTGCCCAGCCCAGAGCTGTATTTTTAAATATTCTTTGTGGCATGTAGTATGAATTGAATTTATTTATACAAGTTTAAATTCTTTATTTTTATTTTTATTTTTATTTTTTTTTTGAGATGGAGTTTTGCTCTTGTTGCCTAGGCTGGAGTGCAATGATGCAATCTCGGCTCACTGCAGCCTCTGCCTCCCGGATTCCAGTGATTCTGCTGCCTCAGCCTCCCAAGTAGCTGGGATTACAGGCATGCACCACCACGCCCGGTTAATTTTGTATTTTTAGTAGAGACGTTTCTCCATGTTCGTCAGGCTGGTCTTGAACTCCCGACTTCAGGTGATACGCCCACCTCAGCCTCCCAAAGTGCTGGAATTACAGGCATGAGCAACCGCGCCTGGCACAGGTTTAAAATCTTGTTCCCACAATTCCAAAATCTATAAAAGCTTTGGAAACCAAAAGATTTCTTGGGACTTATTTATTGACAAAACCTGACCTGCCTCATGCTGAATTTGTCAGCAAAACTTCTCTTGGCTGATGGGAGGCTCACTGTGGGGTTATTCATCACGGTTACTGTGAATTAGTCACATTTCACCACAGACATCATGCCGGACAGATGTCGGAATGTGAATCTGTCTTTTGCCTGTTAGGGAACACATGTCGGACCTTTTGGTAAAGTGGAAACAGAAAGGCCAAGCACAAGGGAGAGTGGAGCCTCCCAGCAGCTAGGGTCGCTGCACGCGCCAGGCTGAGTTCCTCGTGTTTCGTGTGGTGAGGGTCGCTGCACGCGCTAGCCTGAGTTCCTCGTGTTTCGCGTGGTGAGGGTCGCTGCACGCGCTAGCCTGAGTTCCTCGTGTTTCCGG